AGATTCGAGGACTGTCCAAGAGCTGCGAGAGACCCACCCGTCACACCCTGGACAATTGGAAGCTTTTGGCGAAGGGCAAGCATCCTAAGCGTCCAGGGGTTACAGTCGAGACGGGTCCCTGGTCTCTCCTTTAACTCATTCTCGTAGCCGTCCTTGATAAAACTCCTCCCCCTCCCTCCTGGAACCCCTTGTCACTACACGCCGGGCTTGCCGCTTGAGGATTGGACCCCCCCAAAAAAACTTGAGCCAGTCACATGTAAAGAGAGGCCCTTCGCCGCAGTGGCCTTGGTCGTGCGTGGCAGATGGGGGGCGCGAGGGGGCCGAGCCCGAGCACGCCAGCCGTTATGCTGTCCCTTCGCTCACGGTGATCCGGCGAGCCGCGCACCAAGGTCAGGCGATCGCAAACATGGATCAAGGGGGCGTGGATTAGGGACGGGTCTGGCGTCCATGGGACATCGCGGATTTCCGCCGACGAACGAGGCGGCACTGGCCGCATTTGGGGAAGGTACTTTGGCGACCGCGCGCCAAATCCATGGATCGCTGATCCATGTTGACGTGCCCCCAACAAGGTCGCTCCTGCCTGGGGTCTCACTCTTGCGCGCAGCCGAGAGTCGAACATGGCCCCAGGACCCCAGTTGAGGGGAGCTGGTTAGCGATTCGGCCCCGAAGCCCCGCAAATGGACCATAACCACATAACATGGCTGCCGTAGCTGGTGTTTCCTCTGCCCGCGGCAGTTGATATTAGTGGAGTGGGTCGAGGGGGCGTCTCCTGTCACCCATCCCTGAACCAGGTCACACCAAACCCAGTTCCGCCAATGCTTGAGAAATGAGGATCAGGAGGATCAGAGCCCGCCCCAGGAGATGGAGCTCGAGGACTGGCTGATCGCGTCCGCGTATGCCCTCCGCGACTCGATCCCCAGCGCCTCGCAGTGGGAGCTCATGGATCAGCTGAGCCGGCGGGGCAGGGGCTCCTCATCCTCCAGGATGACAGGGGGGTCCCAGGACGCACAAAAACAACGACCGGGGCGTGCCATTTCCGTTTCCCGTGTGCTAAAAGATCACGTTCGGGAGTGTGCACGTCAGGCAGGCGGCACTGTGATGCCCGAAGGCGTGTCGAAAACGCGTGCAGGTGGGCCACGGGCCGATCCCGGACCTGAAGACGCATATAACAAAAGTCGCTGGGGGGCCCCCAAACGGGGCGGTGACCACACCGTGCGGTGAGTCGTTGGGGATTCGGGGTCGCCGCACGGTTTTGGGCCTCGGGTCGATCTCCGAGGACGTCTCGGGCGGCTGGGGCCTCCGAGGGTCCCGAGACCGTGCAGTGACGGACCGTGCGGTGAGGTCTCGAGGGATTTCGACGTCACCGCACGGTTTGTCACCGCACCGTTTCGGGACTCCAAAGTCGCGCCAGAAACGAAGATAAGACATCGATCTTGAAAGCGACAAATGGATGCCCAGCGCTTGGAAGATCATCGAAGGCCCAGCGATCTGGCGCCCCGCAGCGCCTGGGCGGCCAGCTGGTCGGCACATGTTTGGCCTCTCGAGTCCTGCCCTTCGGGCCTCGAGGCCGTGAGAGCACATCTCGGTGTGAGAGGGAGGCTGTTTTTTCTTCGGACTCAGACAGCATGGCAGTTCCCCCCCCCTTCGCCGCCTTTTCAAGCCCCCCCCCCTTCGCCGCCGTTTCAAGCAGCGCTGGGGGGCCGAAAAGGCGTGCACGCGAGCCCCCCCCCCTTGCGCGAAGGCCCGACGTCCTTCCGGGCCTCGCCACGCCACCCCCGTCTCCATGCAAGTGAACTCGCCAGAATCGGATGACAAAAGAACGCCTCCAACTTGTCGGCACTTTTGGCCTCTGGAATCGGGCTTCGGACCTCGGGGTCGTCAGAGTACCTTTCGGGTTGAGAAGCCCGCAACGGCCCGGGGAAGTGGTCGAGAGGTCGAGGCCCGCGCACCGGAGGTGTGCGGAATGAAGAGAAGGCAAGATAGTCGGACACTGAGCGAATGCCCACCCAGACAAGTCGACAGAGAAAATCTGCATTGGTCCACTCGGAGTTGGTGCTCGATTGTATCGTTGCAGTTCCCAGTCGTTTTCGCCAATCGACGTGCGTTCCCTCTGATGCATTCGAATGTTTTTTTTGACGTCGATTAGCTACCCCTCTGGGGTGCACCCGGTGAGCGGTGCCGTGCGCATATGTGGAGTGCCCCTGGCTGTTTGCACTAAGTGGCGTTTTGCTGAAGGGGGTTCTGTCCACCTCCGAGCTAGGGGAGGGACCAGGAGTTTTCAGGGGCTCCAAAGGGTTTGAGGGCCATCCCCTTTACAATTACTCAATATGACTACTACTCTCCTCTCTCCCCTGAGTCTGCGGCGGAATCTATCTCGGAGTGTTCGGCCCCTCTCGCGTATTGTTTTTTTTTTCCACGGGATGTCGGCGAGTTGGGTTTTCGCCTTTCTTTTTTTTGTCAAAGTGCTGCTCTCGCTGAGGCGCTGGCCTCATTGTCGGGCTTTTGCTCGTTCCGAATCGTGCTCCCGCTGCAGCGCTGGCTTTATTTCCGCGCTTCCGCTCATTCCGAATCGTGCTACCGCTGCAGCGCTGGCCTTATTTCCGCGCTTCCGATCGTTCCGAATCGTGCTCCCGCTGCAGCGCTGGCGTCATTATTTCCAGCGCTATGACACGGCATGGTTTTCGGTCCTTCCAAATAGGACCTCACAACTAGAAAATGGCCCTCCGAAGCAACCATCGGAAGTGATTACACACCCGGTGCCGATTCGTTGATTTTTTGGGCCGCAGAAGGGCCCCCCCCCCACTTTGGGGCGTCAGGCTACGCGCTTATCTTCGACACCATGCTGTGCCATGTAGTGCTATGCCCTGCTGCGACATCCGACTGTGCGAATAGAGAGGAGACCTGCGCCATTGTAAGGGAGGGGAGGGAGGGGTAGGACGTCAGATAGGACGTCAGATAGATCCACCTCCCCTCCTCCCTCGCCCCCGTCCCCTGCGCGGTTCCTGCAGAGGCGACCCGCCGCCGGAAGGCTCGGGCCATGACGCCCGTGGGACGTGTTGGGGGGAGGAGGAGGAGGAGGAGGAGGAGGAGGAGGAGGAGGAGGAGGAGGAGGAGGAGGAGGAGGAGGAGGAGGAGGGGGGGAGATGACCCAGAATCTCTGCTGCTGGGTCCGGCCGATGCTTTGGGTAACAACTCATGGGAGCCGTGCGTGTTCTCGTTCATTCCGTCTTTGGGGTGCGCAAGCGTGCGCTGGCGTCAAATGGTCGATGCAACAGCACCGATTTAGTGTCGACCTGCATCGATGCAGCTTCGACCAGCGTCGATCAGCGCCGGTTGGCGTTGGCCAGCATCGAAGTCGCAAGAGCCAGCACGAAGGCACGGGAGGCTCCCGTGAGCTGCCACCAGAGATGCCACCAGAGATGCCACCTGACACCTGCCCTCGTCGCCGTTGTGGCATGGCGCTTTGGCAGCCCGCGCACGCCGCGGCGTGAAGTCGGCATGGCATCTCTCGCAGGGCCCGTTTTCGATCGTCGCTCTCCTGCCTCTGCCGACGTGCGTGCGAAGCGTTTTTCGCGAGGAGGGCTGCGCCCGAGAGGCCCCGGGGGAGGGGGCCACCCCTGCGTGCTGCCGTGCCTCTCCTCCACGCGGGCCCCCGCGGCGGGGGGGCTCCCAGGCAGCGCGAGGACATCGAGGACCTCATCCGGGAGGAGATCGGGCAGTGCCAAGCGGTCGGCGGCCACACGTGAACCCTGCCCCCCACCCCCCACGAATTCTAAGGGGGGGGTCCATCACTTCGTTCGGGAGCTCCCGCGCGGGGTGAGTCCCCCCCCCCCCTCCCAGAAGTCGTGGGAGGGCGGAGGTGAGGGGTTCACGCGTGGCCGCCTGGGCCGGGCCGCCACTGGGATGGCCGCCGGCTCCTCCTGGCAGCGGGTGCTCCAGGACCGCACCTCGAGGAGGTTTTTGGGACGGTCGGGGTCGTTTTGGCAAGCCCTGGCGTGGTGTTCGGGGCCCACGTTTAAGTCGGGCCTGTCCCTCTATAGGAGGAATATTCCCAAATAGTCAAAACATGGTCAGGGGGCGATTTTTTATAATATGTTTTGGCAAGCTTGTGATGTTTTGTTGAGTATCTTTCATTTTTCGCCCCAAATCCGCCTCTAGGGGGACATGCCCGACCTAAGCCCACGTCTGGAATGAGCTGGCGCTTCCTCGAGGAGTTGGCGACCCCTCTTAGGTCGGCGGCGGCAAGACTGGGGGGGGGGGGGCGCGAGAGAATGCGCGAGGGCACCTGCGAGGCCCCGCCGCCTTCTGAGAAGGCATGCCGCCTCTCTCACCTCCCCCCTTGGTCTCGCCGCCGAACGAGGCGCGGGCAGGACGTATCTCCATGACTCCACTGCGTCTTGGAGTCTCGGGCTCCCTCCCCCAGACACCCGAGGCGCAGCGGATATGCGGACGGCAGTCTGGCCCCCAGAGGCTAGATTCTTACCCACACCGATTGCGCCTCGGCCCTGTGGTGCCCCCTCTCAAAAAGTCCAAGACGCATGGAATCTGGAGGGGAATGTTGCCCGCGTTCCTGGGGTCCTTCTGGCAGGGCTCGACTTACAGGGTGGTTTCCGTTTTCGTCTCGTTTTCGTATTCCTTCGTTTCGCCTTCGTCCCGCCCATGCCGCGGACCGAAACCGAAACGAAAACGGACCACGAAACCGCCACAATACCGTTTGGGTCGAGCCCTACCGTCTGGAGCTAGTCGTTCCACTCCTGCGTCGATGCTGAGTCGAACGGCCGTCGGCTCGGGTCGAACTTGAGTCGAACTTGAGTCGAACTTTTCGGATGCAGTTCCTGGGAGGTCAAATTCTGACCTTGCCCTGGTCCGAAATCGAGGTTCGTCTAGCTTGATGCCGCTCTATCCGGCTTACTTCCGTTTGATCAGGTTTAATCCCGTTTGATCCGAGGCTTAGTCCGGCGCAGCAGCCCCCCAATGGAGATTCATCTCACCTGCCCGTTAGGGGGTAGGTGGTCTAGGGAGCTTCCTCTTCCAACGCCCTTCTTCCCCTTCGGGGAGGGGTTTATCCGATAGCAACCCCGCCGTCCTAACCGTAAAGAACCATACACATTCAAGTTTGCTTCGCCAACATGTCGTCGAGTTGCGAAAAGTGTAGCAGGAAAAGGACGGAATGAACATCGCTCGGGTAACCCTAAGCGGGTGGTCGCGTCCGACCAAAGAAAAAACAATACAAAGTCAACGTTAATCTCGACAGCATGGACTTTCTTGTCGTCGACGCTGCGAAAAGTGTAGCAATAATGGGACGGAATGAACATCGCTTGGGTAACCCTAAGCGAAAGGGTCGCGTCGTACCGATCCACCAAAAAAAACAATACAAAGGCAACATTTTTCTCGACAGCATGGACTCTCTTGTCGTCGACGCTGCGAACATGTAGCAGAGATGGGACGCGGCGCGCATCGCGCGCGGACGCCTGGCCAACCCTACGCGGGACCCCCCGTCCTACTTGCCAAGAAACACCGCAACGTCGACGCTTGTCTTGCCAACATGTACTTTCTCCTCGTCGGCGCTGCGAATCGCGTAGCGGGAACGGGACGCAACGCACATCGCGCGGAGACGCCTGCTCGTCAACATGGACTTTCTTGCCGTCGACGCTGCGACCCGTCGGGTTGAGGAGCTGGGCGGGTGGCAAGTCATAGTGCTTCAAGCAAGTGCGGTTCAAGCAAGTGCTTCAGGAGACCCCCGAGAGGTCGAGTAAAGGCGTCCAGGAGGTTTTGGGGGAGGCAACACAAATATTGATTTTCATTTGGTGTTTGAAGGATTGCGAGGGTAGCACCTACTCGTGTTGGCAATGTTCCAACCCGGAAGATATATCCAAAAAGGCCCTGAGGCGCATGCCAAGAAGCTCCCAGGACGCCCCGCGAGTTCCCAAGAGGCATTCCCCTCTTCCCCCTCAGTTTCTCCCTCCCTCCCTCTCTCCCTCCCCTCCTCCTCCTCCCCCTCCGCTTCCTCCTCCTCCTCCTCCTCCTCCTCCTCCTCCTCCTCCTCTTCCTCCTCCTCCTCCTCCCCCTCCTCCATGCGCGGCAGGAGCGAAGCGATTGGCGGTGCAACGCGCGTGGCTGGAATGAGACGCGGCGCACTTCGCGCGCTGGACATGTTGTCGCCGGCGATGCAACATGAGAGGCCGGAGCGGGGCGCTGCGTACATCGCGCGCGGTTTTGTTTCTCGTCGACGTTGCTCGAAGCGCGGCAGGAATAGGACGCAGCTCACGTCGCGCGCTGAACCTTTAGCCGCCCGCGATATAAGATGAGCAACAGGCGTCGGACGCGACGCACTTGCTTCTTATGTTGCGGGAGGGCGGGTGGGAGTGGACGGGGTCCTCTGGCTCGTTCGAGCTGGCAAACTTGACCCCTACCCCTTCCCCTGGACCTGGACGGGGGGTTCTGCGGGTAGTTGGAGCGTCCAATACGGCCTCGGCGAGGAACCCCACATCATTGGTTTTACGGAGGTTTGGGCCCCATTTTGGCCTCCGAAGGCTCCCAAGGGTGCCCAAAAGGGCCCCAAGAGGTGGCCAGGAGGCCCCAAGAGGCCAACAAGAGGCCCCAGGATGCCCCCAAGAGGCCCCCCAGAAACCCCCCAGAGGCCCCCCACAGGCACCCAAGACGCTCCAAGAGGCTTCGGCGAGAATGCCAAAATGATTGATGTGACGAAGGTTTTGGCCACAGTTTGGCTTCGTGGGGGGCACTGATTCAGATGACTCCAAAAGCGCCTGGGGGAGCCCAAGATGACCTCCAAGATGGCTCAAGATATTCCAATGTGCTTCCAGATGGCTCACACAATGCTCCAAGATGCCTTAAGACCGCTCCAGGACGGCTCCAAGTGGCCACGGAGCTCCTCCAGGAGGCCCCGCAGAGGCCAACATCCTTCCAAAACCTCAGGACAATCGGTGCTTTTGGCTTTCTCGCCTTTTCGCTTCCGGTGGCCGTCCGAGGCCCCAAGATGGCCCCAAAATGGCCCAAGAGGGCCCCAAGAGAGGCTCAAGAGAGCCCCAAGACGGCCCCAAGATCGCCCAAGAGCGCTCCAAGAGCGCCACAAAAGCGCCCCAAGAGGCGACTGTTTGGGCTCCCGAGGGGCTACGCTGAAATATTCTCTCCTCTTGTTTGATCGATGTCCTCCAAGATGGCCCCAAGAGCGCCCCAAAGAACTTTTCAAGAGGGCCCCAAGAGGCGCCCAGGTGGCCCCAACAGGAGCCCAAGAGGCCTCCAAGAGGCTCCCAAGAGACCCCCAAGAGGCCCCAAAAAGCTTTCCGAGGCACACCCAAGATGGTTTAAGGGGCGCCCGGGACTGCCAACAGGCCCCCAAAACGCTCCAAGAGGCCTCCACTGGGGGGCCTTCCTGTGTGCGCTGCCCACCTCCCTGATCGATGCACTTCCTCTGGGCATCGTTTCTGGCTGGGCTGGTTCAGCCCGGGCTACGAACGAAACCTAATTACCTAGCGCGCGCACGAACGGCTGCCGGAGCTGCCGCCGAGGGACGCCCGGCGGCGCCTGGGGCTGAACGCAGGGCTGCAAGAATTGCCAGGTGTGCCAGGCGGCTGAAGTACAACCACCCCAGGGGCGGGACCACCAGGAAGGCAAACTAATAGTACCCTGTCGTGCCAGGCGCCAGAGGTAAACGTGCCACCGAGCAGAGCACGGCATAGCGCGGGGCTGAGCAAGCAGTCCTGCGTACTTGTGTCGCATGCCAACAGTGGCAACCGCAAGTGGTTGAACAAGAAGGCTGTACTACTCAGGAGCCATCCACGTGGAGGTGCATCCCACCACTGCAAGGCGGCAGCTGCAAACATGGCCAGGCTGTGGCAGTGTCTGTGGACCAAGGGCCAGGAGCATGCAAGCATGCTAGCTGGAGCCGGTCGACGTGCAAGTCACCGGGACGCCAGGGTTACCTCACCAGGCCCAAAGAAGCCAGCACGGACACCACCAGACGCCAGGGACGGAGGGCGAAAGCCCAAAAACCGCAACCAGGCTGTGGTCGGCGGCAGGGCGGCGGTGGCCAGGGGGGGCCAGACGGCGCCAAGACGGGCGGCGCAGCAAGCAGCTGAAGGGCTGGTTGGGTTACGCGAGGCGTCTACCATCCGACGAAGACCTCCCAGTAGTTGCCTTCTAAGATTGGCGTCGCCTCACCTCGATGCCGACCTCAAGGACTGCCTCAGCTTCTGAGGACGCATCCCTACGATTGGCGTCTCCTTTGGGCCTGTCATGTCAGCCTGAGGGATGGGGACACGTTCGAGACCGGTTATACAAGGCGAGGCGGTTCCCGGAACGTGCATGTCCCCCTTTTTCCCCTTCCTGTGCCGACATGGATTTGGAAGCAACTTCGCGGCCCGCCCAGATTCTCGTCGCTGACCCTGGTTAGCGCTCTCCCACGTCAGCGCTTCCCCGCAGCACTTCTCGGTAGAAGTTCCTTCTCTCCCGTTCGCCTCGGCGCGACGCGAAATGGCGCCTTCGGTGGCCGTGCCTGCACGTCTCGACCGTCCTAACTTAACGCATGGCGTGAACAAACATGCGTCTATCGGATCGCAGGGTTTTCAATCTGCGGGCCCCCATGCGTTCCGACACGTTCCCAGGGGGGTAGTTTTTCGCCCTGGAACCGTTCGATCCTTCCACGAAACCGAGAAACCGAGCGGAGGCCGCATGGAAGGAACGACGGGGAGACATTATCAAATATCCATCCGCCCGCAGTTTAGGTTTTCGGGGTCCACTTCTATCAGGCCGACCCGATACGACATCGGTTCCGGCCCGCCCTTCCGATCGGATCATGGTCGTCGAGCGACCCGATGCGGCCCGATGTCCGCCTGGCGCTGTTGTACATTTGGCACCGCCGACCGTGATTCGATTCCGAATCTGAAGCCGTTCCCTGCTGCCACGAAGCCTCGGAGCGGAACCCATCCTAACGCCTACCCTGATGGGCTTGTTTCCCACCACCACCACCACCACCATAAGTTGGAGGGGGGAAGGAAGTGGAGGACGAAGAGGAGAGGACGAAGAGGACGATGAGGAGGACGAGGAGGGGGAGGAGGAGGAGGAGGAGGAGGAGGAGGAGGAGGAGGAGGAGGAGAGGAGGAGGTGGTGGAGGAGGAGGGGCCCTTCCCCCGGCCCATCATACCCCGTCTCCCTCTCCCGTGCCGACCCGGGCTTGAGAGCTCGGCGCCGCCCCAGGAGAGGGGGGCCGACGGCCTCAAGCAGGCCGAGCGGCAGCGGCCCACGGGGTCGCAGGTGGAGAACGTGCCCGGCACCGCGCCGCCCTCGGCCCGCCGCAGGGGGCCGCGGGCGGAGGGGGCAGGGGGAGGAGGAGGAGGAGGAGGAGGAGGAGGAGGAGGAGGAGGAGGAGGAGGAGGAGGAGGAGGAGGAGGAGGAGGAGGAGGAGGAGGAGGAGGAGGAGGGGCGAGGGAAGAGGAAGGAGAGGAGGAGAGGAGGTCGAGGAGGAGGAAAAGGATGAGGAAAAGGAGGAGGAGGCCGGAAAGCGAGAAACGGAGGAGGAGGAGGAGGTCGAGATGGAGTGAAGGCAATGAGGAGGAGGAGCTGGAGGAGGAGGACGGACGGAGGACGGAGGGCGAGGAGAGTGGGCGAGGAGGAGGGACGGCAAGAAAGACGAGGAGGACGGAGGGCGAGGAGGCGAGGAGGAGTAGAAGGAGGGCGAGGAGGTCGGGGAGGAGGAGGAGGAGGAGCAGCAGCAGCAGCAGGAAGGAGGAGGAGGAGGAGGGAGAAGGTCGAGGAAGAGGGGAGGCGAGGGGGAGGAGGGGAGGAGGGGAGGAGGAGGAGGAGGAGGAGGAGGAGGAGGAGGAGGAGGAGGAGGAGGAGGAGGAGGATGAGGAGGAGGAGGAGGAGGAGGAAAAAAGAGGAGAAAGAGGTAAGAGACGGAGAGCGAGGAGGGAGGCAGGAGCGAAGGCGAGGAGGAGGAGGGAGATCAACGAGGAGGAGGAGAAGGAGGAGGAGGAGGAGGTCGGGAGCCGTGTCAGGGGGGGAATAGGCTCGGGGGCGATGCATCGGCTCCCACATCGCCCATTCATCGCGGATAGCCCCACCCCGCCCAGGACCTTGCGATTGTGCTATCGAGGGCCTATCGCCGACCTGTCGGCAATGTATCGCAGATTCCAAATTGATGTTTCCCTTGCCGAGCCAGTCCCCCTCAAGCCTTGCCCTGCAGGAGGCGGAGGGAGGGCGAAGAAGAGAGGGAGTAGGAGCAAGGCGAGGCTCGAAGAGTTTCAATCACAAAAATCATCAACTTGCGAATGTTCGCGAGGAGTCTTGGATTTGCGCTGGGCCCCTCTGGCGGTCTCCAGAAGCCTTGCATCCAAAGTGTTGACACGTCTTGGCGGCACATTCGGGCGGGGCCATGACGAGGATAAATCCGTTCCAGAGAGTTCCGGAACGGTCTCGGAGCGTTCCGGGACGCTCTGAGAAGGCCGCGGCGCCCGAGACATGTTCCAGAGTTGCCAGATCTCAGAGACTCCCGATTTATTGTCGAGCATCCGAATAAGAAGCCTTCTCCGGGAAAGCGCGGCCAGCGTTTCTGAACCAATTTGCCAACAAGTTGGCCCAGTTTCTTGAACACGTTCGCCCCCCCCCCCCCCCGCCCAGCGTCAACAGCAGAAGTTGGCCCATGCATGCTTTTACACATTTCCGGCAAGCTGGCCCATAGTTCTTGAATCACAGTTGTTCCTGGATCATATCTTCGGGATTCTCTACACCTGATGTTGTCCTCTTCCTGGCTTCGTCCAACCGCATACTGTCCGCGCGGATCTCTCGGATCGGCGCTGGGCCCCCCTGCAGGCGCCTCCGGCGTTGCCCCGGGCGCGCTCCGCGCGCCGCCCGGGAGAAGGGTCCAGCGCGGATCCAAGACACCCGCGCGGACCTCCCACAGTTTATGTGTCTGTGAGCGTGGAGGCTGCGCTCTCCCCCCCTCCTCCCCCTTTCTGTTAATTCAAGCTTCGCGCGGCCCGCTTAGCTTCGACCGGAAGAGGTGCGCCCTCGACCCGCGAATAAAAAAGTGTCTGTATGCGTGTTCTTCTTCCTCCGTGCTTCGACCGGAAGAGCTTCTTCCGTCGACCCACCGCGGTGGATGCGCCCATTGCTTGGCTCCCAGCGGCCTTCCGCCGCCCTGTGCTGCTCTGCGCCGAGGACGAGGGGATCGACCTCTGTCGATCGCTCGGAGGCTCCCGGTCGTTGAAGGTACGTGTTCGGGGACTCCCAGATCCCAATTTACTCAAGAATCGGTATGCTTTTGCTGTGTTTTGGAATTCTCTCGGAGGGCCTTAACCCAATCTAATGCATCCGCCTTCCTACTTCATGTTTTCCCCTACTTCTCACTCCCGTGTACCAGACTGGAACATAGCCCTATCCCTATGACGGGCGTCGCCTCATCTCGATGTCGATATTGTGTTGCCTCAGTTTCTGAGGACGCATCTCTAAGATTGTCATCGCCTTTTGCCCTGTCCGTCTTAGGGATCGCATCTCTGAGATTGTCATCGCATTTTGACCCTGTCCGTTTTAGGGATAGGGATCAGTTCGAGGTTGGTGGAATGCGAGGCCGTTCCGGGAACGTGCATGTCCCCCCTCTCCCTCTCCTGTGCTGACCCGGGTTTGTTAGCAGTGTCGCGGCCCGCCCAGATTCTCGTCGTTGATCTTGGTTAGCGCTGTCCCAGGTCAGCTTTTCCCCGAAGCGTTTCTCAGTAGAATGTCCTTCTCCCCCGCTTCCGCCTCGGCGCGACGCGAAATTGCTCCTTCTGTGGCCGTGCCTGCACCTCTCAACAATCCTAACGCATGGCGTGAACAAAAATGCGTCGATCGGGTCGCAGGGTTTTCAATCTGCGGGCCCCCATGCGTTCCGACCCGTTCCCAGGGGGGGCAGTTCTTCGCCCTGGAACCGTTCTTTCCTGCCACGGAGCCCAGAAATGGAGCGGAGGCCGCATGGAAGGAAAGACGGGGAGAGATTATCAAAACATCCATCCGCCCGCAGTTCAGGTTCTCGGCGTCCACTTCTATCCGACCGACCCGATACGACATCGGCTCCGGCCCGCCCCTCCGATCGGATCATGGTTTTCGAGCGACCCGATGCGGCCCGATGTTCGCATGGCGCTGTTGTACATTTGACACCGCCGACTGGATTCGATTCCGACTCTGCGCTGACACGGCTCGACTCGACGCACATCCGCTCCGATCCGATCTCACGACTCGATACCAATTCAGCCTCCGCACGCACTCTCGTTCAAGTGCAGGAGTCGGGAGCCACTGCTCAGCAGACCTGCCCTGTACGTCCGCTAAGATTTGTATTCGACTGCTCCATGCGCTTGTGCGTGTTGTGCGCTTGCAGTTTCTTTGTCTGGACGGCGCTTGCCTCTGAGTCTCAGGTCCTTTTCTTCCTACGGGGACTCGAGCTGCTGCAGTCCGTCTGCGGTGCGCTGGACGTCTCGGTACGGGTCGCGGAGCTGATCCTGGGGCAGGCCAGCACTCGGGCTCGTGGCGGGTCGACGTCGGCGTCGGCGTCGGCGTCGGCGTCGTCGTCGTCGGTTGCATCGTCGTCGGCGGCGGCGGCGGCGGCGGCGTCGGCGTCGGCGTCTGCGTTGTCGTCGGCGCCGGCGTCGGCTTTGTCGGCGTCGGCTTTGTCGTCGTCGTCGTCGGCGGCGGCGGCGTCGTCGTCACCGTCTCGCGCTCGCAATCGCATTTGCATCCGCATCCGTGCTCGTTTTCGTCATCGTCTGCATCTTCGTCGTCGTTGTCGTCCTTGGGATATGAGTAATGAGTAACCGCATGCCGATGATAATAAAGGGACCCCCCCCCTTTCAGTGTTTAGAGTTGATTATCGTCGCCCTATGCAAAATTCAAATTGGGCGGCGAGCGCTGAGGCCGAACTTCATTATCACCTCGAAACGCTATGTTGAGATAGCAACATCAAGCGATGTTGATATAGCAACATCAAGCGAAGCGATCACACTTTTTCAGGATGTGTCAAGCGAAACCAATAATTTTGGGAGGCAGACTCAAACGAAACGAGCAATGTTCTTATTATTCTTCTACTTTCCTCTTCTTCTTTTATATTTATATCTGTCCTCACGCTCGCCTGAACTTTTTTATCCCTGGGGTTGATTATCCATGGAAAATGAAGCACATGAGCTACCCTACACGAGCACTTTAAAAAAACAAATCATAAAGCGTTTGTACATTAAAATTGATAGATTTGGAACTTTGGATTTTTCCTTTCTTCGTCCTCTTCTTATTATCCTCTTCTTCTTCTTTCTTATTATTATTCTACTGTATTCTTCTTCTTTTATATTTCTCTCTGTCCCCACGCTCGCCTGAACTTTTTTATCTCTGGGGTTGATTATCCATGTAAATTGAGGCACATGAGCTACCCTACACGAGCACTTACAAACAACAATTTTCATGAGAGATAAGCCATTGTTGATGATATTTCTATGAAAACTAAACGCCAAGGATGTCTCAAAACGTGCTCGGCTTGGTCTCCTCTTGATCATCTCTTGCTTCGAGATTATGCTGAGGTCTGCTGGGCTACTTTTATTATCTCTCCCTGAACCCCGAACTTTATTATCCCCTAGTGTTTATTCTCACGGGCATGAGGTTATGCTGATTGATTTTGGATGCCTGTTGGCGCTTCTGTGGTATTCTGCAGACTTCTGGGAGCTTCTGGAGGGTGGAGCACGGGCTGGTGGAGGGGGGAGGAGAAGAGGAGAGGGGATCAGAAGGATGAGGACGGCGAGGAGGGGGAGGAGGAGGAGGAGGAGGAGGAGGAGGAGGAGGAGTAGGCGGAGGCGGAGGAAGAGGAGGACGAGGGCAGGAGGATGAAGAGGGGAGAGGAGGGGCATGGGTAGGAGGTAGGTGGGAAGCGGCAGGAGGATGGGCAGGAGGAGGGTTGAACAGAGTGGGAGGGGGACGAGGAGGAGGAGGAGGAGGAGGAGGAGGAGGTGAGGAGGAGGATGGAAAAGGGAGAGGGGGGAAGGCATGGGCAGGAAATCCATAGCGAGAGCGTGATTCCCGAGTGTCGAGGGGAGGGCGCCTGGAATAAATGAAGGGAAGTCCCACTCGAGAGCGCGATTCCTGCATGTAATGTGAGGAAGTCCCACGCGAGAGCGCGATTCCATAATACACTGTGACGAAGTATCAGGCGGGAGCCCCTGCTGTTGTAAACTGGGGGCCAACAACCTAGTCTGGTCCCCCTTTGCTTTCCCTTGTGATCAAATATGGTGCGAGCCCCGGGAGAAGTACTTTCATTGAAACATACAGTAGTTACCGGAGGGGGGATCAACAATGATTATTCGTCAGAAGTGAGAAGGGTTCCCGCTTGATACTTCCTCACATTTATGGAGACATCGCACTCTCGCGCGGGACGCCCTCACGATATATCCAGGAATATCGTTTTCGCGTGGAACTTCCTCCAAAGTTATTCAGACGCCGCGCCATCGACGCTCAGGAATCGCGCTTTCGCAGCAGCTTTTCTCCCGCGGTTCACTTTGGAATCGCGCTATCGCTCGAGATTTCCGGGCGATTCATGCAGAATTCACGCTTAAGCAACCCGCTGGCTCGACTTGCCGCCTGGGCCCGCCTTCCCGACCCGTCCGTTAGGGTCTACCCGCCCGACCAGCCCGTCTGGTTCTGCAGCGTGTTTTCTGCTTCTGGTCCCCCTCCTTCTATAACGTGTTCCATCCTTCTCCTTCCCTCTTGCATTTGTCACTTTCTTCGCCTTTTTTGGGGGCTGCCCCAAATACGCGCGGCAGGTGAGGAAGATATACACCCAAGGGGGCACGATCGAAGACGAGCATGGCGGTTATCAGGATTTTGGGATCTACGTTCTGAATGGTACGCAAACAGGTAAGAGCCGAGAGTCTTAAACAAAGTGTTGTTATTATTGCTGTCGCGTTTATTGCTGATGTTGCTGTTTTTGTTGTTTTAGTTTCTATTATGCTTTTTGCGCAAGTTTGGTCGGTACCCCGAAACGCCAGAACGTGAACTTCGATTTCAGAAAACATACAGCCGGTGCCGAGGCGAGAGCGCCAGGGCGCCTGTACGGGGGTCCAACAAGAATATCTTTAGTGGTCAACATTCAACAACAACGAAAGCCATCACCACCACCATCACCATCACCATCACCACAGCAACAACAACACGCATTTCAAGACAGTTCGCTCTTATCTGCTCGCGTGCCACTGCCACTCAACACGTAGATCCCAATCCTTCGATACCCGCCTTCTCCGTTTCTGGTCGTGTTGTTTTTTTTGTTGGGGGGTCTCTATATTCATTCTCTGCAACGCGCATTTCGTGTAGCCCCGTGTGTCAGTGGCAGAGAGTACGGATGGAAGGAAGGGACAAGGGGGAAGGAGGAGGATGGAACACGAGAGAGTGTAGCAGGAGGGGGGCTAGGAGCAGAACATGGCGTGGCAGAAGCAGACGGGCAGATCTGGCGGGTAGACCTTAACGGGCGGGTCGGAAGGCGGGCCCAGGCGGCCAAGTCGAGCAGGCGGATTCCTGAAGCGTGAGTCCCGCATGAATCGCGAGGAGGTCCCGAGCGACAGCGCGATTCCCAGGTAGGTTGTGAGAAATCTTCAGCGGGAGCGTGACTTCTGTGTGTCGAGGGCACTTCGTTACAATAAATTGAGCAAGTCCCACGCGAGTGCGCGATTCCTACATATTCTGACAAGAAGTCCCGCGCGAAAGCGCGACTTGGGAATCAATTGCGAGGAAGTCTCTGGCGGGAACCGCTGTTGTTGTAAACATGTGTGCAGCAGCCAAGTTTGCTAACACTTCGCTCTCTCTCTCTCTCTCTCTCTCTTGTAAAGAACCAGGTGCAAGCCCCGGGTGGAGCATTTCAATTGAAAATTTCAATGGTTATTGGGGCGGGGCATCAGCAACACGTCTGCTTAAGCTTTGACAGCTCCAGAACAACGTCAGCAGCAATAGCACTGACACCAGTCAACTTAAGAGTGTTCGATCTTACCGGTTCGCGCGCCATTCAATACGTATATCCCAAACCCAAGGTGCCCACCCTCTTCGTCTTCGCTCGTGCCCGCGTGGGGGCTTACTACCTTCCTTACCGGCCGCGCGCATTTAGCGCAGCCCCTAAAGTAGGGAAGGGGACGGATGGAAAGGGGAGGGAGAAGTATTGAGAACGAGAGAAATGAACGAGGGGGGCTAGGAGCAGAAAGCACGTGGCAGAACCAAAGTGGCAGATTGGGCGGGCACTTTTTCCCAACCCTCCTGTGGTGTGGGGTACTTGTTGTTCCCCACATCCAGAGCGGGGCTCTCGTTTTCTCTGGGCACCTCGCGCAGGAACCTCACCTCACCTCCCAACCCCTCTCCCACTTCACTCACCAGGTTCAGAGACTCCGCAACTCTGGGTTCAGAGATGCCGCGCGAGAGGTCGTCAGGCCAGTCAAGTTAGGGCTCAGAGATGCTGCGCCCGAGGTGGTCCAGCCAGGTTTGTTTCAGACGTCCGCGTAACGTTGGGCTCAAATATGCCCTGACGTGAGTTGGTTTGGCCAATTTCCCCTGCGACATCCTCGCAAGTTTGAGCTCGGGGATGACACGTTTTGACCTGATGTTGTCCAGCCACCTTCGCTTGAGACATCCTTGAAATTGTGGTTTCTGAGATGTTGCGCGCGAGGTTGTCCAGCCAGTTTTGCCTGAGCCAGCCTCGCAACTCTGTGCAAACAAATGCCTTGACCCAGGGATGAGCAGACGCAGGAGTCCCACGGAATCGGGGGGAAGGTGGCGAATGATGCTGTCGTTGGAGCGCCGTCCATACCCCTGAACGGGAGTAATGTTGTCGCCTGTGCGGTGACTGCACTCTCGGTTGGGAAGTGAGCTGTTGCCCGAGCACTGGATGTCATTCTCTCGCCTGAGCGCCAGCCACATCCCTGATTGAAAAAGGTGCTCTCTCCAGCGCGCTGGCCACATCTCTGGTAGCGAACGGTGTTGTCGCTCAAGCGCCGGCTTTATCCACATGCTACAGTAGCATGTGTTACAGCAATTGTGGCGTCCATTTCGGAGGGGTTGTCCGGGTTGTCCCGGGGGATGTCCAGGATGTGTTTGTCATTTTTTCCTACGGCATAAGGTTCAACAGGGGGAAACCTCAAGGCATCCCGCGACTCTGGAGAAAAAACGGAGGAAGTATCGAGTGGTGGCGTCGTTGTTTGTAGGAGTTCATGAGGCGGGAGCATTGGTCCTGAGGCGAAAAGCACGGAAGTATCGAGCGGGAGCGCAGATTTTGATGGCAAGGGCCGAGTGAGAAAGGAGGAAGTATCGAGCCAGAGCGTGGTTGTTTTTGGGTGGCCAGTATTGGCGGATCCCCGAAACGCATGAGCGCAAGCCTAATTTTCAAAGAAAACGCAGCGGGGGCCGAGGCGAGAACGCGAAGGCGCATTCAGGGTGTCCAACAATAATATCTGGTTTGCATTTCAGTTTCAACAACAACAACACCAACAACAACACT